GTCTCCATTGTTCTGGTCCAATAGGAATGATCCTCCTCATGAGTCTCAGCAAGTCCATGGTCTCTTTCTGGGTGTAGTTGATGGAACCTTTGGATCTTCCTCCTCTTTCTTGAGCAATCGACCTTGCTGGACGCGTTGCTGCTGGACGCGTTGCTGCTGTCGACCTTGCAGCTGTTGGTGCTGCTGTTGGTGCTGGAGCCAACCTTGCAGCTGTTGTTGCTGGAGCTGGAGCTGGAGCTGGTGGAGCCATGATCCTTTTATGAGCCAGCAAAGAGGAGGATGGTATGCTAATCACATACGGGATGTCGTCTTCTTCCCTCTCAAGGTGAGAGCGCCAGCTCTCTTCCCTCCTCTTAGCAAGCACTTGCATCCTCCACAACAGAAGAATCTGGATGCTAGGGTTGCAATTAATTAGAGGGCTCCATGCGCCAACCATCCTCAGCATTGTTTCTCTTTGTTCCTTCTCCTCTTTGTTGCTTTGTTGTTCCTTCTCTTTGTCCTCGCCGTTCCTTCTCTTTTCTTCTTGCAAAGATCATGTGCTTTTTCCTTGACACTTGAATCAAAAGAAGTTTGGCGCCTGTTTAGGGCGCGCCTGCTCCCGCGACTGGAAGTGGTTAAGTCAAGGATTCCAATAAAAAAATATGTAAATTACATAAAAGTTGGTTGTCGTGGGCCCACGACAACCAAAATTTATGTATTTTGGGTCATAATGCGAGCCGGCCGTGCCAAAATTTACACAGATATATGTTATCGGGAATCACCCAATAGACAACAACAAGATAATGGTGGAGATAATGATCATCGATTCCCCAGTATGAGCATCGTCGATGAGCAGCGTCAATGAGCACCAGCATTGGACCGACGTCAACATCTGTCTTAATTTCCTTCTTACTACTTGTCTCCCCCTTATATCAAAAAATTATAGGAATAGTACTGTGTATACGTTGTTTACTGTTACTAGTGTGTCATTTTGCTCGTAGCCTCAACAAGAGGACCATCTTAATAGCTGACAAGACGAGGACGGTAGTACAGTAGTAGGGTATTGAATTGCCTTTGAAGATTTTTTTGAAACTCTAGTGGAAATTGGAATTGGAACGGACATTCATACGGTACTGGAGAAGTATGAACACAGTTTTGTTGAACTGAACAACTTGGTGACACAATTACAACAACTATTTACCCTATGAAATAGTCTAGCTTCTCACTAAAATGACCAATCATCATACTAAGAAGTTGATGGTTCTTTAGACCTGCTGTGTATCTTTTCTCTCCTGTTGCTTAATTCAAACAAACTGCTGTAAGACACCTATCTCGTCATCATGACAGCAAGAATATTGATTGACTTAATTCATTAGATTTGTTCACTGGCAACTGGTAGAATTATGGCTGTAGATTTGAAATGTAAATTCTATTTAAAAGGATATTCAACCCAATGGGCACGAACTTCTGAGATAATAATCATTTCAGTTTTTTGGTTTGCGCCGCAAGTCTCGCAGCGCACTCTTGCTTCGGGCTACATCAAATTTCTCATTTTGATCTTCCCGTAACATACGATACCATTCATTAGTCACGTCCCAACTACCACCCCAGAGATACCACATGCTGACGAAAGGGGAAGACTTTTTGTGTGTCGAACTTGCCTTTTTTTCCCGCATATTGGGAGGGGGCTGTGTCAACGATAGGCGGCGAGAAGGATTTTTGAGAATGATGCAAGAACAAACACGGTGGAAAGTACGCAGTGCTTAACAACTATGGGAATAGAACTTCCTGACGTGACGAGGCTCAATTTGATAGCAAACTCACCAAATAAATATATCGTTTCCTTGGAACCAAATATATCGGTAGTTGCCCTGCATTAGATGTAAGTTTTTGGAAATAGTCTTTCTTGTGCACAAAGTTTGGCATCAACAACATCCAGGGCTTGTTTTGGTTCTTCTTGCTCGTGACGTGCTTCATCAGCATTTCTATGTGATCAGCACTATACGGTGGATTCGTAAGAAAGACATCGTAGCTAGGATATATCGAGGGATCCTTCCAAACCTCGTAACAATCTTCCTTACGATTGTAGACTTCAGGGAAACCCAAGGAGTTTAGCTGACGGGCGACGCGACCATCGCAAAAGTAGGGATCGTAAATGGAAAGCTCGTTGATTGATTCTTTGCGTATCCACCGGCTGTACGATTGTAGCAAAGGAACAATATCCTCGTAGGCTTCGAGAGGAGACTCGCAGTGATCATCTGGATCAACCTCGTAAGGAAAAGCCGTCGAAGGATTCCCGTTGATATGCCCACCTGTGTTGGACGATGAATTTAGGTCTATTTGCGCGGCAAATATATTGCGTAACGCATTTTTTGTAAAGGACATAAAACATGGAGAGAATAAATGTACCAAAGGATATTGAGAACGTTTCCGTTGCACAATGTCTATTCAAACGTCACACCCAACCGATGGTATGAACCCAAAATAGGAAGAAAGACAACAGGAAGACTTCGTTTTCGATGTAACGACAAACAACCATTTTGGCTCTTTCCCTTCTATCGCCTACCAAATCTCACTCTAGTCAAACTTCAAAGGGTACAAACACTCTTCTAGCACGATATTTGACCGGCTGAGAACTATGGATGAAAGTTCAAGCCGGCTTCGATACATGCAATATTGAGTTTCTTTCGATACGCCGAGAGAGAGAGAGAGAAACATAGGTATGAAGCGTACCTTTATCTTTTTCTTCGGTTTTTTGAAATATCACAACCCCACCATTTCCATCTAAACAACCGATTTGCTGTCGATTTCCGTTCTCCAGCCTTTGTTCTGTTGCAGAGTAAACTTTTCCTCCTTTGCGATCTATCAAAACAAAGAGTTCCGATATCATGGCACCTTCCAACACGACTTCATCGTTTATCACATCGTTGTAGTTGGTGTTATCGAAATGCTCGACATCCTCGTCCTTGTTCTTCCCAGGAGAATTTTGTTCGGATATCTTATTATTTTTTTTCTTTTTCCGTTTTTTCTTTTTAGAGCTTGGTGCTCTATCCGTGGCTGTTTCCTGCTGCAATGAGGGTGGTGAATTTTCTGCACGATTGGTGACACCGTTTGTATCATAATCAGTCGAATTTTTTTCTTTCAAAGAAGAACAGTGTTGTTCCTTGTCCTCAATTTTCCTCTTCTTTCTTTTCTTGTTTTGCTTTTTATTCCTTTTACTACTCTTGTCAGTGTTATTATCATCTGCTATGGTTTCCGTTGTTGTACCTTTCTCGTCAAAATATTCCTGCTTATCATTTGACTCAATCCCCACGGATGTCAAGGCCAAGGGTTTTTCGTCTTCACGCTTGCGCTTCTTCTTGGAAGAGGAATGGAGCTTCGACTTCGACTTCGACTTCGACATAGTTCTGCTTTCAAGTTGTTGTCTGCCCCAAACAGACGATGATGCTATTTTTGACGATATTATGAGGTGTAATGCTTTCGTCGTTATCTTGTTGTCACGTCATCAGCATGGCCACAATTCTTTCTAGCATTCGTCAACGAATCCTTGCGACGTGCTGAACATCGGTAACAAACTGTCTTGATGGGTACTTTTATCGTCGCCCAAGAAATAATGATTGATTCTGCGAGTTGATCACACACTGAGGCACCGTTATTCTTTTTTGTGGAACAATTCCTATTCTGAATGTAGTACTTGGTACGTAACTCGTAAGGTACCGTAGTACGTACTCGTACCTTACTGTATTTCTATTTTTTGGTTGGTTGTCAAAAAGCCTTAGTCCCACTCTACGAATCGAGTCCCGAGCCCCGAGACCGCCGGCTCTGCATTGGGCTATGCTGCTTTGTTGTGACTTGTGACCCATGCCCGCATTTCAATAGAGTACGTACCGTACTGTACACTTGACTGTAGGGCTCTCGTCGTCGCTGATCCGTCGAGTGCCGTTTCTTAGTTTCAATGCCGACGAGCTAGTTTAAAAAATAACACTGCACGTTACATCAAAAGTACCGAGAAGTACGTACAGTGCTCTACAGTACAGTACAGTACTTCGTACATGTTCTAAATGTTCTGAACGCAAGGTTTTCCTCCTTGGCAAAGAGAGCTTAAAACTACGGTACTAGAAGTGCTTACTTGGTACCAGTCAGCAACCATACTAGTGCGGTAAAGTGTGGACAACAAAAAATGCTCACGGGGAAGGTAAAATTGTGCCTCCGTAGCCGTAGTAACCTCAACCCGACGACTCGACTTCTGAATTTACTTAAACGCGGTAAATAGGAGTGCGCATTGCTTGTCCATCATACTTCTTGGTAATTCCTCTCATCAAACCTCTCCAGTGGGTGTGGATTTTGCTACACTTCAAACTTTTTTTTGCGTTCCGAAAGAGGGAAATCCGTTCCGTTCATTTCCTCTTGCTGTTCACACAAGAACAACTCTGGGTGGGAGCGAAAAGTGACGCTGATGACTGCTGTGTCGCGTAACGCAAGACGCGAAGAAAATTAAGCCATGGCAAATGACGAAACGGAAGAAGGGGCCAAATCTCCCATAGAGGAAACTCAAACGGAGACCCCAGATGAGGAAGAGGAGCAGGAACAGGAAAAAGCAAAACAGCAACCGCAACAAAAACGGTTTAGTTTCTATGATGCACAAGAAGTAGGAGGCATCCTTGGTCTGAGTCGGTCAGAATCACCCTCACCGCCAGTAGAGGAAAAACCAAACCCAAATCGATTCAACTTCTACGATCCAAAGCTAATCGCTGAAGCCGACGAAAATGCACCCAACACACACTTAAATTTCCAGGTCCAATTGCAGTTGGAACGAGGAGATACAAAGCAACAACAGAAGGAAATCCTGACTGTTCCTGAAACCAGAGATAAAGTCGAGGATGACAACATAGTAGATAGCAACATCGACGCAAATACAGATGAAATATTACGATCGCTGCAAGAGACAGAAGATCAACGCAAGCAGATTCTCCAACCAGCGGCGTCGACATTATCATCATCTTTGGCGTCTTCGACACCACCCATGGCTGCTACTATTACCGGGGTTGATATTGCTGCATCCACAGGTGTAGCAACAGCTCATGCCACAACGACTACTGATGATTGCGGTAGCGCCAACCACAACCTCAACATTGTCAATACAAATCCGTATGAAGACTCGATTCGAACGGCCCTTGATTTGTTGAGAAAACACAAGGTATCACCTCCAAATTCTCCAAGCGTTGGCAACGTCATTGATGCGGTCGAACAAGTAGATCGCTATAGTGTCAATATGTCAGACCGAGACCGAACCCCAAAGGAACATGATCGCCTTCTGCAGCATCGAAGCTACGACGAGGATGATAATTGCGTCAAAGCAGTCGACTACGTTGTCCAAGAGGCAAAGTGGAAATCCAAGCAGCACAAGGAAGTCATCGCTAGGTACGCCAATAAATTGGAAGAATTCAAATCAGCCCTGTCGCCCGAGGATCAGTTGCAGGTTCAGCTTTCCACAAGCTATACACAGAGCTATGACGAAGCCGATGGTGGTGATGATAGAAATGAATCCCCCCCGTTGCTCCAAGAACAAATGAGAGGCTCCGACGACGATAAGGATACTAGTGGCAGGCAATCGCAGTCCCAGTCCCAGCTTCCAAACCACATCCATCGCCATATCAAGGCTTCTTTGACAGAGGATTCCACGGGCCTTGTTTCGGAGCTTTCTCAGTACTCCCATAGTAACTACCCACAACGATCATACCAAACAAATTTGAATTCGCCATACCAGCAGCAAGCCATTATTGAAGAGCAAGTCCAAAAAGGAGTCGAAAAGGTACTGGTAGCCATTCTCGAAGCCAATAAAAACAGAAGTGTAGCTAGCGGAAATTCTTCTTGCGATGGCGGGAGTCATTCCAATGGGATTGCAGCAATTGACAACGTATCAACCAATTCTGGAGATAACGCAAACGATACCCTCCTTAAGGTCCTGCACGAACTTTTGCCTTCAAGTCGTAGTATAGATGGTACAAGCATCAATTCACACGACGGTGGTGTTGGATTTTCGACGGCAACAATCACGAGCAAACACTCTGCGTCGGTAATGAGCCAAGGGTCATCATATGCAAATATTCCGAGCCGAAAGTCCTCAGTAGTCGATGAACTCTTGGCTGAAGTCGAAGACAACAATGGCGAACATGTTGATAGTGCAACACGAGAAGGAAAGATATCGAAATCGAATATCGGTCTAGAGACCATTCCCCCAGGCTCTAATGTAGCACGGTATTGGATGGAGGGTGACGAAAAGAAAATGACAGAAGATCGGGGGTACTCAGATGAGCAAGAAGTAATCGAAATGGAACCAGACCCGATTATATCCCCGACATTCGATGAAAGCGGAGAAGACAATAATCTCAAGGTCACAAAAAGTGCAGATATCGATACGAGTAATGAAGTCAGTGATGCTGTTGATGATAGTTTGTTTGAATCCGAAACATCTGGTGAATGCGTCTCAAGATCAAGCGACATGAGCGACGAAGGCGATGAGTTGGATACAACATATGACGATCACGATGGTAGTTATGAAGATGACGACGTTGAAAGCACACATGGCGCTAGGGTTTTGGGTCCGTTGAGTCGAGAAGCTGGAGGTACTACCGGTGTCGTCTTGGATTTGGAATCGGACGATTCACCGTCTTCAACGCAGGATGAGAGACAAATGGGTTATTTCTCATCTGTTGCAAATCAAGGGTCTTCTATGCTCATGTCAGGGGGAGAGCAACAAATTTTGGATAATAAAAGAAAAGAAGAAATTCTTGCAAACTATGATGTCGTGGGCAGAACAACAAACATTCATGACGAAGAAGCAACTGAGTTGATGAGAACTTTGTGTGCCCACCTCTTGCCATTCGGGGTTGACCAACATTCCGCAGGGGGACAATCCATACCGGTTTGGGACGAAAGCAATCCGAACGAGCCGGGTTATCGTATCATACGTCTATCCAAGAGCCAACTCCGGAGGGTCGAGTGCGCATTTGATGCAATGATAACAAAACTGAAACACAATTCACTTGATGGTGTAGAAGCACAATTTGATCCAAACTTTCTACGAGAATTGGAAGAAGCCGAACGCTTGCTGGACGACGAGGATAACCAAAATACTTCTCATGTGAATGCTGGAACCACCGTTGTCAATGTCATGGCAAAGGTACAGCAGCCGCCTCTTCTCGCGACAAACAAGAATGAACCCGCAACATGTCCCCCTCATCCAGAGTTTCCTTGTGTCAAAAGTGCTGGCAATGGAGAAATGGGCGACCTTGAGTATTTTCAGCTCCCCATCATCTTCAAGTCTCATGTTACTGGATTTGAGCCAACTAAGGATATGAAGTTGGAACCGGGGAACATTATTGCTGGGCAATATCTTGTAGAATGTGAACTTGGAAGTGCTGCATTTAGTACTGCCTATAAGTGTGTCGATTTTTCGTCGGAAGACAACGACGTTCGCGAAGAAGTTTGTTTGAAAGTCATCAAAAACACTAAAGATTTTTTTGACCAGTCGCTCGATGAGATAAAGATACTGGAGCTTTTGCGACAAACTGGGCAATGTGACGAGAATTACATTCTTCGAGTAAAGACATTTTTTTATTATCGCGAGCATTTGATCATCGTTACAGAGCTACTGCGGCGAAATCTTTTCGAGTTCGGTAAATCTATCATCGACAACGACGAAGAACCTTATTTCACATTACCGCGTCTGGCGTATATCACGCGACAGTGCCTGATCGCTCTTCGGTTTGTTCATAATTTGGGATTGGTCCATTCCGATGTGAAACCAGAAAACATCCTGCTGGGAAGCTACAGTCGCGCTCAAATCAAGCTAATAGACTTTGGAAGTAGCTGCTACTTGACCGATCGGCAGAGTTCGTACATTCAATCTCGATCTTATCGAGCTCCCGAGGTCGTCCTTGGACTTCCATACGACGGAAAAATTGATGTGTGGTCTTTGGGTTGCGTGGTGGCAGAGATGTATACCGGTGAAGTCACGTTCCAAAACGACTCGATTGTTTCGATGCTGAGTCGAATCGAGGCATATCGTGGATCGTTTCCGAGACACATGGTTGCCCAAGGGCGTCAATCGAATCGCTTCTTCACCAAGAGTGGTTTGCTCTATGAGGTTGTAGGTGATTCGGATGACGAGGAAGGTGCATCGGGCAACCGAATTGCCCCAGCCCCCGACGACGAGTTATCGGACTGTGACTCCGAATCGGAACACACGGAATTCGATGTTTTCCAACCCAAGAGTACGCGACTCTCCTCGAGACTTGGTTTTGACGAGGACTTGATGGATGGCTATGGCGACAAGAATACGCCTATAGAACGACACATCGAACAAATGTTCACCGATTTCGTCGCAAGGCTTCTCACCATCGACCCCGATGGTCGGCCGACTGCAGAGGAGGCGTTGAATCATCCGTATATGGTGTATGCGGCATCTTTGACAGATGACGAGATCAAGTATCCCAGCAGCTAAATATTTTAATTACATTTTATATTTCTTCCGTGGACTTCTATTTTATGAACTAGCAACTGGAGTAGAGTACGCTGCTCCAATTGTTTTTGCGTATTGTTTGTTTAAACAGAATCCAACGATGTTGAACACAATCAAAGGGAGCTTATCATGCCCCAAATCTTGACTCTCGAATTGCTGGCAATCGCCCTTCCAACCAGAAGTGACAGCGCGAATTCTGAGCTAGTCTAGGAGAAGAACACTTTGCAATAATTGGTTGCAGCATTGGCTTCCGAAAGACAGAAGTCTCCAGAAGTCTATGATAGACACAAATTATGAGGAACGCACGCACGATGTGAGATCAATATTCTATTCGTTGCTTTCATGGAAAATAATTCCTCAATTCCAAAGGAAACAAGAATATCGACGACACAAGGAATAATTCCGATGAAATAATATTTTGAATGGAGTCAAAATGAAAAATGAAGACAGAGTTTCTTTACTGCATGCATCTACTGCGTGCTCCTAAACCGATGATCTAGTTACAAGTACTAGACTGACGGTGCACTCTTTTATTCCATTCCATGTTCGGTCAACCAAACCAAACCAAACCAAACCACACCAAACCACACCACACCAAACCGCATCACTTCATCTTTCACAACATTGTTTTTAGTTTCCTAACTTGTAACTCACAAAGGTTAAGAGTCCCTTGCCGAGCAAGCCGGTGATACCAACACCCCAGACTACCGTCAGGATGACCTGCTTTTGGGGAATTGGCTCGCCATATTTCTTTTTGTAGCCACCGCTTTCCTCAACTTTTCGTTGGTAGGCCCAGTCGTTTGGGTTTTCGAAGTAGGCGTCCATGTTGCCTTGGGCGTATCGAACCGTGCATTTTTCGCTAGCTTGGAACTTGTAGACGGCCTGCATGTAATCTTCCGATTGGGTCAAGCGAGTGAAGGCCGGAACGGGTCCATTTCCCAACAACGTTCTGCCAATGCCGTAGGGTTCTTCGGCGTTGGGCGCGGGCGACCATTTTCCGGTGTTCTTGTCGAAGGTCGGCAAGGGAGAGGTAGCCGCGGGGGAAGCTTTCTTGGATCCAAAAGATCCGAAAGCGTTAACCAAGGAAAGGGTCGACAGGAGGAGGACAACGAATTTCATGGTGGCAAAGAGTTAAATGATACTATCGGGAGTCGTATTGTGAACTCGGGAAATGTTCTCAGATGACGGAGGGTAGAGTACAAGTACGGTAGATACGGTCTGTACCCTGGAAGCTGTCGATCGATCCGTAGAACGAAAAGGATTCTTTCGTTGCTTCGATTGAAGCATCCTTCTCATCGGCATGTCTTTTCCCAACTCAACGTCGATGACGCGATCGACGTGTTCGTCCGTGTTGGACCCATGCTGAGCCGAGAGAGACGGACGTCCATCCTGCGTACGGTACGACAACAATGCGCGCAAAAATTCCGATGTGTTTTTCACTCACTACCGGAGGAACTTGGACGGGCGGGCGGACGGACGGACGGGCCGACGGGAGGACAGTAATTTGTGGAAACCCGCACACCAACACAAGCCGCTCATTCGGGTGCTGTGCAAGCTGGCTGCAGGCAGCACCATCGAAAAAAAGAATGATCACGGGCCGAGAACGCATTCTATCGTACCGTACGGAGGCGTTTCTGAGCATTGCAGCAGCAATTCGAGCATAAGGACGGTAGCATTACTATCAGCAACAATGGCAACCCCCTTTTCAGTTCCGTTCGTAGTTTCCAATCCCGATTCATGGGGTCCTCCGCCTCCCGGGGCCGACGAAGGCAATCCAAACGGTCCCCCTAGCTCCACCAAGTTTCCGGACTTGCCGTACTCCCCGTTTGGACGAAGCGACCGCCTGGGACGAGCCGCTGATTTCACGAACATCAGTCGCGGAGACCGAAGCCGATTCAATCGACACGGCCGCTACGACAAGAACGATCGCAACGACCGTCGCAGCAAAAACGACAACGACAGCGAGGATGAAGGCGAAGACTTTCAACTGGTCGATACGAGCAAAGCAACAACCCAGAAACGGTTCGTGCCTCCCGCAGCGAAGCGCCGGCAACACACTGCCAGATTGCGACAGGTCAACGCCCGACGACAGAACCAAGGAGGACCGTCATTCTCCCTCTCGAAACAAGAAGGTTTCGGTGGGCGAGGACGTGGTGCCGGAGGCCGCGGAGGCAGAGGTGGACGCGGAGGAAGAGGCAGGGGCCGCGGAGGAAGAGGGTACAACAACAACCGCATCGATCGCCAACCGTCTGTTGCCGTACAGCCCGATTGGGTCAAGGTCGAAGAACTCGATCTCGCAAAAGTCACAAAGAATTTGTCTGGAACCAGCAGCTCCGATTCCAAAAAGTCGAAGAAGGCCCTGGAGGAGTCGATTCCCACGCCACAGGATGTTTTGTGGTGTGGTTTCCTCGATCAATACAACGACGCCTACGACAAGGTCACCGCTCGACAACCCGCACCCCTCAAGCGCATGGCAACGAAGGAATTTTATCCCGTTACTACCACGGACGATCCCGTTCTGGAGAAGTTGGCCGTCGATGGAATCGGTGGTGCCGGAGAGGGTGACAAGAGAAGCATCTTTGTTACCGACAATATCTTGGCTCACCTGATGACGTGTAGCCGATCCGTCTATCCCTGGGACTTGGTCATCCAGAAAACCGCCGGTGGGCTTTTGTTCTTGGACAAGCGTGACAACAGTCAGCTCGATTACTTGACGGTATGGGAAACCGCATACAATGCTCCTCAACCCGCCAAAGAAGGCGAAGATGCTAGCGCCAACATCAACACCCCGGAGCGACTCGGTTTGGAAGCAACCACCATCAACCAGAACTTTTCGCAACAGATTTTGAAGAAGTCTGGCCGAAAAAACATGGACTTGCCCAATCCCTTCTTCGACGAAGACGACGCCGATGGAATGGAACCCGCCTCCGTCGCATACCGTTACCGTAAATTTGCTCTGGACGAGAACACGACGCTCGTGTGTCGTACCGAACTCCACGGTCTCGTCAAAAAGACGCAGTACATGACAGCATTCGCACTCAACGAGTACATTCCACCGCCCCAGAATGGAATGCCATCCGCCGCCCAAACGAAAACCTGGTAAGTTGCAACGAAATTATGAGAACCGTCGTTTTTTCAACATGAAGAAGTTTTGTTGTGCGGATTCGCAGTGAATTGCAATTGAAAGCACACGAATGCGAACGACTCACCCATGAATTCTGGATTACCTCGACTTTGTTGTTCTATTTGGCAATCAATTTCTTTCGTGATTCGATTCCCTCGTCTCAACCCGTTCCATTTTGGATGCCAATCACAGGCGTGACACAATCGATTCGTCGCGTGGTTCCGTCTTGGCGAACGAACTCAAGAACAATTCTTTCAAGCTTGCTAAGTGGACTGCCCAGTCTCTCTTGGCCGGAGCCGATCAGATGAAGATTGGTTTCTGCTCTCGAGGCAACCCCAAGAGCGCATACGAGCACGTCATTCTAGCTACTCAGTTTTATCGTCCGAAGGACTTTGCCCAACAAATCACTCTGAACGAATCACAAATGTGGGCTATGCTCCGCATGTTTGTGGCAATGTTCGCCAAGCAAGAGGAAGGAAAGTACGTGCTTATGCGAGACCCAAACAAGGCTGTCTTGACCATGTACAAGGTTCCACAGGAGACCTTCGAAGAAGACGAGTAAACCCCCGTGTTTATATGCATCCGGGATCGCAGTTTGTCCCACTTAGTCGCCACCAGGAGTTAGAACTACCATTTTTATTGCTGGCATCTACTTTGGTCAAAAAAACACAATTGATTAAAAAAAAGTAGTAAAAGTTTAGTAATTGATAGGAGATACACCAGCAGTCTTTCAAAAATACTTAGTGGCCAAAGCAAACAGCCGCCTCAACCTCATACCCCTGGTAAGTTGTTCTTTTGTTGGATCATCTTCCTAAATGTTTCGTAATATTTAGTTCACAAAATTTGTCAAACCGAAGAATTCTTCGATCATTGGGTCATGCCCGAAATTCCATAATATGGCACCACAAGCACCGGCAGATAAAGAAGTAACAACAAGAACAGTATGAATACACCACCAGTACTTCTTCAAGGAAATGGTTGTTTTTCATGCTAGTAGGGCTCCTTTTTGTGCAGCTTCTTGTTTTTCTCGTCCTCCTTGACATCAACAACAAGAAGCTAGTAGTAGTACTACTACTACTAATAGCAAACACACCAAAACAAGAAGTTGTTGCAGAATAAAGGGCGTAGTACTGCTAGCTAGTACTAGTACAGTGCTACTAATCTCACTACAGTATTTAAAGAACATAGTACCGTACTGTACCCAGTACTAGAAAGCATACCTACCGGTGCGAAATTACTTCGTATATTACGTAGAGTTTTACCGTACTAAAGTAATATTCTCGAAAAATTCTCTTCCAGTAAGTTACCGTACCGTACATCCAGTTCAGATACATTCATTTAAGACGTGTTTATAAAGACTAACTTTGTACTAAAACTGGACGCTCATTGTTACTACTGCTGTAGACCTATAGGCCCATGTCCAAATACGACTGGTTCGACTCAAAAATACCGTTTATTGAATACAAAAGATCGGCACCTTGAACCTGACGTAGGCGAGTCCGGTAAAAACATTGTTTGGGTCGTTCTGTATCCTCGCGCCCGTACCTCCTGTAGCGCAGGGACATCGCGTTCACGCACGAGGAAGTTTTCATGGGTTGGGTGGCTCGAGCATCACATCAACATCAACAACACTCCATTCACATTACTTCTACAATTTAAAATCCAACTATTTCAACCATGTACCGAACTGTTCTCGTCCTCGCTTTGTGCATTGCCGTCGCTTCGGCCTTCGCCCCTATCGCCAACCAGGCCATCGGTAAGTTCGGCGCAACTGTAGATTACTGGAGTCGTTGCATTGACATGAAATCGTGACGAAAGCCAGGGAGGTCGAGTCCAAAAACGTTAGGGAGTAGTATTTCTTCCATTTCGATGACGCATTCGCTGAACAATGAAAAGAACTAACGATATCGATTCTTAAATCTTTAATTCTATCTCCTTTAGCCACTCCTATGGTTGGACAAGATGCCCCTCAGTTCATGGAAAACACCATCACTGAATTCTCCAACCAAGTTGCTTCTTCGCAAGTTATTGCCTCCAGTGTCAGTGACTTCGGAGGATACTTCTTCCCTGTTTTCGGAATTGGTGCCCTTGCCGGTTTGATCTTGTTCCTTGCCCCTCCTCTTGCCGACGAATAAACTATCAGTTGACTGAATCAGAAGCTAGCCCGAGTTGTGAAAACTCTCGGCCTTTCCGGGTCCCGTGTAACGGATGGAATAGCAACATTTTGCTTTGAAAAGACTAAGCACGGATGTGGATTTTTGGAGTAATGCTACACACATACACCATACCAGAATAACTTAGACATTTCGGGAATAGAATTATTCCCTTGAGATCTTTTCAAAATTATCGTGTTCTGCGAAGATGTAGACTTGAGATCGTATCTCTCATGTCGTGGTTCTATGGTTACGGAGAAGAAATTTTATTCATGTGCTTCCGCTTCATTTCTAGTTAGGCATAATCTTGTGGTACAATGTGCTTCAAATGTAATATCCGAACATCATGTAGCTCTTCATTTTGGAGTTGCAGTTAAGGCCAAGAACAATTCTGGATCGAGTTCGGATATCTCCGATGAAATCCCGAAACGTGTTTGAGTGTGATGTAACGGTTGACATTTGCTGCTCTGTAGTGTTGGATAGCACTTCTAGTATGTATGAAAAGCATTAATTGCAAGTTTCCAACCGCATCCAGAATTGAAGCGTGTTTTAGCAGGATATTTCTGCATACTTCTTGTAGTAGTACTAGTACTTCCTCATCCCCACCTCCGGCTTCTTGTTGTATCTATCCTTCTTAAGTGCAGAATGTGTGGGAATTCCATTCAATTTCATTCCATATTTGGATGTTCTTGTTGACAACCACAGCACTCGTCTGTTCCATATTTCATTAGTACTACTAGTAGTAGTAGTAACCAGATATTGTTGTTGAATAGTAGTAATATGTAGTAGTAGTATGGCATTAATTCTTCTTGTTGTTGTTGTTCCTTCTTACTACTATAAATAATAATACTACCAGTAGTACTAGGAGTAGTAGTAACCTTGCAGTGCCACTACTTCTATTAGTATTTCTTCTAGTAGTATTATTAGCTAGGAGTAGTAGTATTACTATTATTTTCATTGAGGAGTAAAAGAAGTACTACTAGTAGTAGCTACTAGTTGACAACAACAACAACAAGAAAATGAAAAAATAGTTTGATAGTATTCTGGTTGTGGTTCAGGTGCTGCTGGTAGCTTCTTGTTGTTACTAGTATTACTACTTCTTCGTTGTTTGTGTTTCTGCTACTACTGTCATTGGTTTGTATATAGTACTATCATAAAGAATAAGTACTACTACTGGACTACTAGTAGTACTAGTAAGAACTAGGACCACCACTAGCTAGTAGCAGTAGTACTAGTACTACTACTACTATTATTAACAAGGTGTAGTACTATAACCAGCATGATACTACTAGTAGTACTACTAGTACTAGTGGTATGTCAACTACTACTACTAGTAGTAGTAGTACTAGTAGTAGTAGCTAGCTACTAGCTAGTAGCAACTGCAACCTACTCTACTAGAATGTATGACCAAGTAGTACATTACTAGTAGAAATGCTGTACCCTACAACAGACTATTATGTAGATAATAACTTCCTAATTTGGATTCAAGAAACGGGCTGTTTGAAGAGATCTTAGTACTAGTACTAGTACTAGTAGTAGTACTACTACATGTACATGGAAACTCCGGTACTAGTAGACACATGTACAGGTATGATAACAATAACCGGAATCGTTGACATCATGTATTCGATGCATGGCAAACGAGTGCTCTAATGAGTTTAGTACCTGTACCTGATACGAGTACTACGTATCTACCTACGCTACGAGCTTCCAATAGTAAAGAATGATTTTAGTACGTTTACCAGTGCTCATAACCTCATAACCTTTTTATTTTTGACAAGTCGCAAAGGATCTGTCCTTCGTCCAATGTTTGCTAAAACGTCGTTCCCCGTAGCAATTGCGGGAAGTGGCACAAATAATCATAATTACGTACTGTACTATGCCGTACAGACCCTGACTACGTAATCCAAGTACTGAAGTTCGTAGGACTTGTACCGGTATTACAGTAAGTACGGTACAGTAAGTATCGTACTTAGTACTATTTTTTTGAACATCATGGTTCAGTATTTAATATCTTAAGTGACCGGCGATACGCATTAGAGGTACCATACTAATTACGGTATCCTCTACTACTGTACGGTAATTAATACTCTATTTGTCGCCCAAAATGATAGTAGCAAGTGACTGACTCTGCCGTGTCAGCAATAATTACTACTAGTTCGTACCGTACCCTTCGCGAGGGATCACGAACGAATACAAATTGTTTGTGGGAAAGAATGCTTCTGATTGGTTCGACAAAGAGCGCGCCACCACCATTCGCACGTTTTGTTATTTTATCGTAGCTTGTAATCACCGTCAATCTTGCGACAGCTATCAAAATTCCTGGGTTTTCTTCTTCTGGTTTCGGTGGTAGAAATTCTCGAGTTTTCAAGGCTAGTAGAAAAGGCATGGACAGTGCCAGAGCGATTTTCCTCCTCTTTTTTGTCGAGAGAGCGTCGAAAACTGAACAAAACATCCCCGATTGGCCAGGTCTCCTGTTTGACGCTAAAAGGGATCAGCTGGGCCCTAGCTTTCGATAGCATTCAGATCAAATTCAACACGTGACGCCATATTCGAATAGAATTGGTAGGTTGTACCTAACTCTCCTATTTGTAACTTGACCCTCGTGTTGTCATACTAATAGGAAGATCGGTCATGGTCCTCTTCGAGTAATTCTCTCGCACCCACTGTCCAGATTTTCTTGTTTCTTTTTCCGATCGGTGCTGTTTGAATTTCGGTGAAAAAGAGATCACGCATACCTCTTACCCGGCTCGCAACTGATGCGGCACAAGAACCTGCATTGCATGTCGGAAATTTTAGAGAAGCTACGCTACACGTTTTAGTTTGTTACCTTGTTTGTCTGTGTTTATCGTATCATCGTCGGGTAGAATCGAAAAGAGCTTCCAAGTTGTGAAAAAATCTGTTGAAGCTGCTATTCAGTTGGAAGTCGAAAAAGACTGGAAACATGCCCCAATTAATGGAAGATAAAAACGATGGAATTGGAAACGACAATGATTTGATGATCCTCCCTCCTCGTCCTCCTCAAAGAGCAGTTGCAAGAGCCGTTTCCAACCTTGGAAACACATGGTACGTAGCTTTGTGGTTCGGAGATCGATTGAAGCAGACATTTGAGTTTTTTCTTCGATTTGTTTTCCTCACCGTCGTTGTTCTCTCTTGTTTGTCTCTTTGTCTTAGCTACATGAATGCTGTCTTGCAAGCTCTAGCACATGCCCCCGAGCTATGCATGGCCATGGATGTCCATGGTCACCGCATGCGATGTCCTATCTACAAAGAAAACGCCGAAAAGATGGCTGCACTATCAGCGGCATCGTCGGCTCCTTCCTCTCGCTCGTCTTCTCCAGACAACACCTTGAATCAAAACTTCGATAGCAACGGAGAACTGAAAAGTGTGTACACTTATTCTTCGACTGGGGGTGCGGGAACCAGAAAGTCAACGAGACGCTCGGCTCGTACCAATAGCCCGACCAGCAATGAAAATAGCGAAGACAAGAGCGTTGATGATCCCAACGTAACCAAGTTTTGCGCCCTTTGCGAAACGGAACACCACATGGACCGTGTTCACCGAAACACTCACGGGAGCAACATGACTTCGAACAGCAAGGCCGTATCTCCCACGAACTTTGTCCATGGTTTTATCGACCATGTGGCCCCCGCGAGTTTCCGTGTCGGCCAGCAAGAAGACTCGCACGAGTTTCTTCGTCTCTTGATCGAAGCGATGCAAAAATCATGCAAGCAAGCCAGAAGGCGCAAGGTCACCACAATAGACCAGGGGAATCCACAAGATACTCCTACAGAATCTCTTCCTTCCGAAGCAGAATCAGAAAGTGCAAATTCTCTGGTCAAGAAACAGGAGGAATCACCCGATACAGAGTATCCTTTTCAGCTTTTTAGTGGAAAGGTGGAGTCAAAGGTGACCTGTGGGTATTGCCACACAACCAGTTCTACCCTCGACCCCATCGAAGACCTTGGGTTAGAAGTTACACCTTTGGCAGGAACATCTCTCAACGCGGTTGGAAGAAGAAATGCTCCCAGTCCTGTTCCTACATCCTCCTTGGCGGATGTTTCGCACGCTCTTCAACGGTTTGCGTGTGCGGAGGATCTAGACGCCGGATACAAGTGCGAGAAGTGTGGCAAGGTCGGCAAAGCAACGAAACAAATGCGCCTGGCTTCGATCCCTCCGATTCTCACGCTTCATCTCAAGCGATTTCGTTATGGATCCTCGGATCCATCCATGGCCAACGCTGGCGGTGGAGCCGGTCTCCTTGGAAACGGTGGCAGTGGCTATCTTCCCACACGCCGAAGCCAACGCACGTCCGAAGTGAGTCAACTCATAGCATCCTCCGGAGGTGTAACTTCAAGTGGCAGCGGAGTTGATTGGTTCAGCGGCGGGAAGAGTGGATCGGCGAAAATCGAAGGTCCGTCGGAATTCAAAGCAGTGATGGATCTGAAACCCTATCTGACTGAAGAATTGCAAAAGAAACATGGAAATATGCTTTGTCGCCTATTCGCTGTGGTTGTCCACGTCGGAAAGAATTCACACAGTGGACATTATTTGGCGTAAGTTTACGTATCTGTTTCATTTTCGGCTCGATGATAATATCGGCACCTCAAACATTGGCTTACGATATTTTTATGCTTCATCGCTTTGTCATTTTCTCAAAGCTACGTCCGAAATATTTCGAAAAATGAGTGGTGGAAGATGGACGATTCTCGCATTTCATTGGTATCCACCGAAGAAGTTTTGAGGTCCGAAGCTTACATGCTTTTTTACAGAGTTGTGGACCATCCGTACAGCAAAAAGCTGGCGAATCAGGTTAAAGCATTGAACGATTCTTACGATGTATCGGATTCCTTGAAAGCCAAAGAAGAGAAAGAAGCTGCGGTTGCCTCTCGAAAGAGAAAGGAGAAGGAAACGAAGGACGCTTCAATCGAAATAGAAAAAAATTCTGCCGACGCAAGTTCGAAAAACTCTTCTCGCCTGTCCGATCGTTCTATCGGATCTGGCCCCGCCGCCAGTGTTAAGAGAAATCACAGGAAGCGAAAGGCTCCTGAATTCTTCTGCGGTGAAGAATGGGCACGATCGAAAACTGTCATTGCAGAGAAAAACATCGCCAGATTTCGCGATGTCGAAGGCAAGGTCAGCAGGCACATTACGTTTACCCCTGAATTCGAAAAGCTGCTTTCGGAACACGCGTTGAAGACTAACGCTAAAATTGACCAGATTCCTAGTTCAGGAAGCAGTCTCCTGGATAATTGCGGCGACAGTTCAACGGAGGACATTAATATCACTCTGCTCAGATGCTTCCTGGCAGTGAGTAAGAACGATGGTATCGTTGACTTCGCCCCAACTCCAACTCCCACCATGACTACGAGATCATCAGCTGCATCTCGTGGAAAGTTGCAGTCGTCGGCGATTCATGTCGTGGACCCCACTGACGATCTTCTTTGACCGGAGGGAAGAAAAAACTCATAGCAGAAGGACGGGTACAACTGATGACAACCACTTCTTGTTTGCACAAACGAAAGCGAAGTACAGAATCATTCTAGCTGTGGCTACCTCTCTTGGACAGGCGTAGAAACCACCAGCTTAAGTGCATTCCTCTCTTTGTTTGACATTCTGTACCAATCTGCTGTGTTTATCAAATCAAATGCTATTTACAACAAAAGGACACTTGTTTCGTTGGCGTACACGAGTTGCCTTAAATTTCATAAATTCTACAAGAAAATAAAATAAAGCTATCATTACTAACAATGCATTTGCAACAAAATAATGATAGATCCTGGTTTTAATTTTGGCAATTAATAATACCCATTACCACCGTGGGAGTAATTCCCGGGATATCCCGCACTCGGCTGTGGCAAGTAGCTCAACAGGGCAGTTGTATTCGGAGATGCCATGGAAGCATTCGCATAGTGATTGCTCCCAGCGGGACTATATTGCTGCTGAGTCGGATGCCGCTGCAGCCGAAGCCTGCGCTTTCGGAAGAGCAGATTCCGTATCGTTTTGTATACCAGCCACCCGCCTCCAAACACAAAGGCATACCGGAGGGCTTTCAGGCGCTTGCGTTTCTGTTTTTCTTCTTCGGTCTCGTGTTCGCGCTCGATGCATTCCAAGGCTCTCATCTCGTGAAAGGTCTTGATCGCGTGGTCGATCATTTGGTTCAGCGATTCCCATGCCTGCTGCAGGGCCTGCTGGTTCGCTCCAACCATGTATATCGCCTGGCTGATCGAGAAAACTATGTTCTGAACGTTGTACACGATCTGGTTCAGACCCGACAGATACGGCAGCCCCGTGCCACCCATTCCCATTCCAAGGCCCATGTAGGGCGAGGGAGGCATCATCATCGATGCCCCGCCGTGAAGACCGTAGGGAGAAACACCCCCCATGCCACCGTAGGGAGCCAGACCCATCGAGTCCACCGACGATGGCATGTGCGTTGTCGCCGTCGTTCCGTCTCCCGCTTCGACCGTTTCTAGCAAAGACTCGCTCTGGGAACTAACGGCACCGGCCCTGGCCTCGTTCGTCATGGTGTTCCGACGAGAAGCATGAGACGGTGCCGTCCTTCGAGGATTCGATTCGTTGCTGCGAAGAAGCTTCTTCTTTCTGTTGCTGCGCTGAGGCGTAGAGCTCGAACCCGCCGAGCCTCTTCTTTCTGGTACCGTGGAGGACAAGCTGTGCGCCACTGATTTGGAGGAACGTCTCGAAGAAGAGCGCCTGGCAAACTTCTTGGACTGCTGAGTTCCGTTCGTCTCTCGGAGAAGCGGAAGCCGAGTTGTCGCGCCATCGGCCGAGGCACCGTGCGGTGGGATGCTAGGAGGCATCTTTCGAGCAGCCGAGCTCGATTTAGAAACCACTAGTTTGGGGATGGAATGGGAAGAGGGGCGGTATGCTTGGTAACAGTTTCGGCTGCGATTGTTCTGCCCGGCTCCTTCACGTCTTCGAGCGAGAGGTAGTAGTACTCGTGCACTTGCCCGTACCGGTAGTCTCAATTTTGCTACACGAGTTCAGCCACATGATGCAGAAACGTCCACCTTGAAGAGTACGAATACGCGTTCAGGTTCTACTGTTACGAACGTACGAGTACGAGTACCGTACGGTACGGGCTCTGCTTCATCTCGAACAACAGAATCGCTCACGATTTGGGCCCACCGGTCGTTATTCCATAAGACTAATTTAGCGCCAAAAAGAGGGCAGCCCCTCGAATCTCGCCACTGAAAAAGCAGTCTGTGTTAGTACTTGTTGTATGTTCTGTAGAAGGTAGTACCGGTACTGCGAGAAAATGAAGAGGAAGATGAAGGGTTTTTCTAGTAGTAGTAGGGTGAGAATTTCATAGAGTCTTACCCAAGAGGTAAAATTTTCCTTTAAAGAAATTCTCTTCTTTCTTGTTATGGTACTATGTGCTGAAAGGGGGGGGGGAAAGGAGGAGGAGGAGGAAGAAGAGCAGGAGATCATTTACAATACTAAGAAGAAGTAGTAGGGTAGTAGTAGTACTACTAGTAGTAGTAGTAGTAGTAGTAGTAGTAGTAGTAGTAGTACTGGTGACGGGGTAGTACTACTACTAGTAGTACTAGTACAAGAATTCACTCTGATCAATTTTAGATTTCATAGTTTGGCAATCCTCAATAAGAGCATGGACTCACTTTTCTTCTACTAGCACTTGATTTACATGATCACTGTTCAATAGTAGTCACTCCCACAGGTTATGACACCCTTCCAATAAAAATCACTATCACCACCATGGTAATTTTTTAGGTGTGCTCTCTCCTCACAAAAATCTACCACTGGATTTGCAATCATGTTAGCAAACACTTCCATTGTATAGTACAAATCAAAAACCCAAATGCAAACTGCACAAAACTCAACCAAAGCAGAATTCTAGTACGCTGATGTTTCTGCTGCAAACATTGTTTTATTCCTCAGGTCTATTCTTGCTGAGGACCTAGGATTTCCTCAACAACAACCAACAATGTTGTGCAAACATAACAATTCCACCATAGAAATTGTAAACTGAGGAGTTCCTACAGAACAATCACGGCACATTGATATACCTTACTTTGCAATACAAGGTTGGAAACAAGACCTATATATCAAGATGCAGTTCATCAACAGCACAACAAATCCTGCAGATGCACTGAGAAAACCTCTGGGCTGGGTACTTCACAATCGCCACCATGTACTCCACCTCTTTGGGCACTTTGCTCCTACTCCACCCAACTGATATCCTCCTTCCTTGTCTTTTCTGCTATGATCTGTTCAATTCACACATCACAGATCACAGGAGGGTGCTGGTGTCCACTCCGTAGTAGGATATCAGATCATGAGTATGATCCATATCTTTGACACATAGATACGGCACATACATATATTCATACTAGTAGTACACACTCTACATTCATGACTCATTTGATCGTCCTATGGATACACAAAATTGACTTGGCTTGTCTGATTCACTCACGTGACTGACTTGACTTATTTGATTTACACATCACTTGATCTTCATTCTGATCAATTTTAGATTTCATAGTTCGTCAATCCTCAATACTAAGAGCATGGACTCACTTTTCTTCTACTAGCACTCAATTTACATCACTATTAGATAATCACTCCCCCAAAATTAGTCAAAGCATCTCAATCTGTTTTTGCCCTGCTGGTGCTGAAGAGCTTACAGATAGTAGTCAATCTTCTGTTGGATTCAACAATGCTACTGGTAGTAGTAGTAAGAAGTGTGCTGAGAAACCAATGGTCTGGGGCACTACTAGTACTACTAAGAACAAGTGGTGTAACCACTGAGCTCAAGGGTTTCCAAGAAAGTGGTAACTACTAGCTGGAAGACAGCAGCTCATTTCCACTGTTATGAGAATTTTCTTGCAACAACAAGTCAATGACTTGGATGTAGTGCTGGTGGTGGTGTGTTTGGAGATATTGTACTAGTAGCTTTGGCACGTCACACACCAGCAGACCTGAGTGATGTGCTGAGCGCCACATTGCTACTGCTGTTGGACCCATTCTTGTTATTGCTGCTCTAGTAATCTATGCAGAAAGTGAAATTAGGAATGTTTTGGGTACCAGTACACTCAAATGTGCAGGTCGATGTGAGCTCCACCACAGTTATAACATACCTACGTATCCATCATACGACTACGAGTAACTTACCGCTGCGTGCTACGCTACGTTGCCTTCGTGCCATGAAATCATGCAAGTCGAAAATCGAAAAGAATACTAAAATTTCAACCACGAAAGCGTTAGATCCAATTTTTCTAGTTCTATTTTATTTTTAACGTTTTCAAAACCTTCAACTTGAGATGAATAAAAGAGTGGGACTACAGCAGTACCGTAGGTTACGTAAAGCGGACTTAATGTAGTACGGTACGGTAAGGTACTGTACGGTACTACTGATTGAGTTACTGTATCATCATATTGTTGTACACTACAGTACCGTACGACACTTCTAGCTAGTCAACTCTGACAAGTTTGTACCGGTACTGTTAATAGCCGTACAATGGATGAAAAATAAATAATACTGTAATGATCGTAATGATGAAGTGTTCTTTGTTTTTTGTGCATACAACTAGGGATAGTCGCAACTTCATAGAGGTACTTGGAACAAGTTGATCTGTTGGTTTCTCTCTTTGCTCTTTGAACATTGTAGTGAACTGTTTATATGGGTGCGGAAACTTCGCAGAAGCTGTAAAGAGCGAAGTTGGAAGACATTATCTTTCTGCAGGTCTTGTGCCGCAAGACGGCGTTCGAGTAGTGAAGCTGTAGCGGTGGTAGAATTGTTGTAACAGAACTTCAATTCTCTGCTGCCGAAGTTCGGTGGACAGGATTGCTTGATAGAGATGAATACAAACAACGGAAATTCAAACTACAACGGCTTCCCGTCGATTGCGGATGCTGGAAACGGGGTGGTTTATAGTGGGATCGAAGGATCGTATGGCGAATCTTATAGCTACGGTGAGCAACAGTGTGAAGATGGTAGTGGAGAATATTACTACAACGAATATCCAATGCCGCAGCAACAGCAAGCATTGTACAATCCCTATCAGCAACAGCACAGCGAAGAATACGGCGACGAGTACGGTATGACAACGCCGTATCAGCAACAGCACAATGAGGAGTACGGAATGGCAACGTCGGGGGCATGGAACCAACAGTGTGCTGAAAAAAGGGGGGATTACGTTTACGCTTCTGAGTTCTCACCAGAGGTTTATGACCATGCCATCAGCGCGCTTGCCTACGATTCTACTTATGATTGCATGTACTTGACGTCAACGACTCAAAGCATGTCATCCTCAAGGCACACCAAGGTGAAAAATCATCGTGCAAGCTTGTTGCTTAACTATTCAAGTAATACTCAAACAAGAGACTACTTCTTGTATAGTTCAGTCGCTGGTCACCCAGAAGCTCCACTGGCCCATTTACGTGCTATTTATGAATCAATCTATGGGTTTTCTAAAGTTGCAGTGAGTACTACCAGCGGTGTGCAGCAACGAGGAGGGCAAAGTAGCTTCTATCCTCCACCGCATGCTTATATTCCCGCCTACGGAGGAGGAGAGGTCGCAGAAATTCGCTCCTACCACAACCATCATGTTCAGCACAACGAGCACAACCAAAACCGGGGTCATATAGGAATTACGGAACTATTGCCACTGGAAGGTGGATACGTAGCATCGGTATCCCCGTCAGCAGTACGCATACATTCGCACGGAGGTTTACAGGTGCACGATTCCGAATTGTCTGGTATGATTAGTGGGACGATCCATCCACATTGTTCCTCAGCGATACCAGACGACGGGAACGTAGCAGCGACGCATATTACGGTCGGAGGTTTGTCTATGAAGATGACTGGTGCACTCGGTACAGACAATACCAAAACTGCTGTGAACAGGAATAACAGCCGAGTGGTCCAACCGTCTCTTCATTGTCTAGATCTCTGGCAGGGGCTTCGTGTAGTTGTTTCGCGTTCTTTCAAAGCCACAAATCATAAATCTAACGGCAACTCTCAAGTAGGGGTAACCTGCATGGCAACAAGTCACGATAAAGGATCTGTAGTTGCAGKGTGTACAGATGGGAATATCCGGTTATTCGACGGATCTTTGCGGGAATTAGCAACTGTTCGTTCTCACCTGGGGGGAGTATCGAGTATCGCCGTTTCTCCAGATGGGAATCTTGTTGCTACGACAGGGTATAGCTCAAGGGCGTGTCCTAAGAACAGCATTGATGGAATGCCATTCTGTAGCTCGCTGTATACTTTTCCTGATCCGACCATTTACGTTTATGATATTCGTTATTTAGGACGAGGTGGAATCCCACATCCATTTTCGGGTATGAAGGGGACGCCAAGACACGTATGTTTTGTTCCCGATATGGAAGGTTGTGCGTCGAATCGATTGCTTGTTGCTAGTGGTAAGAATGGAGGCGGGATGCAAATCATGACACCATTTGAAAAACAGAACGAGAATACGATCAGCTTCAGCTTGCCACCTCTGCAACAGAGAGAATCAATTACAGCGATGAGCAAACCTAAAGAAGAAACAGGTGAACTAGCTCTCGGAACTTCTATGGGGCGAGTGATGGAATATCGTCTAACTGGCTACATCGAAAATAAAACTATTCGAAGGAAAGCCGATCTCGCAATGCCTCCTTTTTATCCTGATGCACCAGCTGTATCATTAGAGCCTTCTTTGTTACAAGGGAGCCCAAGCCTCAGGAATGGTACTACAGACGAGATGAGATCGTTGTTTAGCACCTATATACTGCAATCGACTCCCAACGTTACATCGATAGGAGAATCGTTTGAAGATGCTATGGAGGTATTTGGATCACTTGCTGGTATGCCGATTTCGATAGACCAAAGAAGAGAGGTCAATGATACTTTACTGAAGGAAGCGACAACAGGAGAAAAGGATTATATGTTGACTGTGCCTACATCAAAGCTTGAAATAGATATACTTGCGAATCAAAATACTGTTTCTAATAACTACAAAGGAAAGAAAGCTGCCAAAGGATTAGCAAATCCAAACAAGCTTTTGTACAACGATAAGCTCTACTCCTTGTGTTACAAAGAGGGTTGGAACGGAAAAGGAAAACAGCCACAGCATCATCACCACCGGGGGAAACGTAGCAATGGTGCTAGTAGCAAGCAAAAAGGAATCCCACCCCGTTATCAATTGCAAGTTCGACCGGGTTTCAAAGCATCCGGGGCATTTGATGCATCTCAACACAACGACACAGGCCTCTTTCCCGGCTGGGACTACGGTTCTTCAATGCCCAATGCGTGGGTAAGTCCAGTTCTTCTTCTGTTCTATTTTATTCCAGAGATTCGTAAAGCAGCTCTTGCTGCACAATTCAACGGAAAAACCATTGGAACGAAAGCCTACGAGAAGTCCCTTTCCCCCGAACTTGGTTTTCTTTTCCATCAAATAGAAAGCCTATCACGCTATGGACTATTGTACCCGCACAGAGGGAACAAATTTAAACCCAAGATTGGGGCATGGATACCATCAAATTTCGTGACATTCTTGTCTACCATGGATGCGGCCGAGCAAATGGCCGTATTAGATGATTCTCCAGCGGCAGTAGATCTCCCTAGAAGACCAGAGTCATTCTATCGCTTCTTGGCGTATCAACTGGACAAAGAAATATTTTCGACGTCTTCCTCGTCATCCGATTTGAAGAAATCTGCAGCGAAACCAAAATTGATGGACTCTCTCAATGGTCTTGACTTTTTGAGTAGTAACCAGTTCATTGAATCAAAATCCACCCCGCCGACACAATCTATGACTCGTGCGCTCACCTTGGACTTGAATTACGACATCTTTCGTCCAGGTACTAAAAGAAAATCAATAAGATTTGGAGAACTACTGCAGCATTCTCTTTGCCGATCAACCAGGTTGAGGGCATGGAATGATAAATCTCGTGCTTATGAAACTATCGTGCAAAGGAAAATTGCAACCTCTCTCCCTCAAATATTAACATTGTCATGCGCATGTGCTGGCAGAAAGGAACAAGATGGATTATGGGCTTGGAGGATGAATAACGGGGGTGAACCGTGGTTGGCCGAGACAATTGAAGTGGAGCTGCTTGCTGATGGCAACGTTGCGGTGACTGAGTGGCACAAAACAGAAAGTGGAGACGGAATTACATCGTCGACTTTCCGAGGAAAGTCTTCTCTTCCACCTGAAGTAGGAAAGCTTGTATTAAAAGCATCTTCAAAGCAGAGATTCCGCTATCGCCTCCAATCAGTGCTATCGTATGTTAGGAGTTATGAAGAGGACAGCGGCGATGACGAGGCATCAGGCCACCACGTTCTTCATTCACGCGTGTCTGCCGACTACAAACGTAGGGTCTTAAAGAGTCAAGCGAAAGAGGCTAGGAAGTTAGCAGAGGAAGTGTCTGCTCTCAATTCTCCGGAAGAAATTGAATTGCAAGAACTACTTTTATCGTCCGGAATTACAGCAGAGGATTATGTTTGTCGTGCCGAATCAGTCGAAGAGCAACTGACATCTCTCGATGAAGAAGTGAACGGTTCATTGTCAAATGACTGGATAATCTACAACGGCTACAAAGTTTCTAAAACAGTTGTAGAAGATGCGAGGGCATTTCATGTTCCCTTCAAGGAGCCTGTTCTTGTCGTATTTCATGCCGTAGATGAAAACGGAATGCCACTTCGAAATACAAATGAAGAGAATTCTGAATCACAGCAGGTCGCCAAGTCCGTCTCTGCGTCCGTAATGAATCCTTCGTCTCTGTCTAAGAATTCTGGTGATATTCTCACGGATAGGTGCTTGCAGAGGCTACAGAAAGGACGTCCATTAGCTTTTGATGCAGAGTTTGTTTCGGTCCAGGAAGAAGAATCTGCAGTAACTGATACAGGGCAGAAGGAGGTTTTATGTGACACTCGTCACGCGCTTGGACGAATATCAATCTTTGACTGTCCCAGAGAAGAGACTATTGTGGATGACCATGTCTTGCCTCGAGAGCCTGTTGTAGATTTTTTGACTCGATTCAGTGGTATTGTAGAAGAGGACCTAGATGTGGCCCGCAGCAAGCATCGCATTATTTCGACTCGAAGCGCATACCTGCAGTTACGATACCTTTTAGATCAATCCTGCATATTTGTGGGCCACGGTTTGAAGCAGGATTTCAGCACAGTTAATTTGGTTGTACCACCAAATCAGATACTGGATACTGTGAAAATTTTTCATATACCTGGTAGGCGGTACGTTTCTCTTCGCTTTCTTGCCAACTTTGTCTTCGGGCGGGATATGCAACAAGACACACACGACTCTGTTGAGGACGCCAGGACAGCATATGAATTATACTGCAAGGCATTGAAGTGGAAAAAAGAGGGTATATGGGAGAAGAGTTTACAAGAACTTTACTCTTATGGGGAAAAAACGTCGTGGAAGCTAGGCATAAAAGATAGATTTTGACTAAGGAGGAATTCATATTTCGGGAGGCGAAATTCTGGTACACAGCAACCACTTTGGAGGAATATCATGATTTTGATTATTTTACATAAAAAAATTAAAATCACATTTCTTCCACCATTCTTCGCATGAATCTTGTAGATGTCCAAACAGTGTTGAATCGCATTCCTTTTCACGCAAGTCATTTTTGATGTGTATTATTTATACGTCTTCCTCGCTGTTAAGGGACTGTGCAATTTTACGAAATGCTGGGGCAGAGACTCTGGCAGAATCTCTTGTCTGTCTTCCACCTTGTCGACTAAAGTCCGGAATTTCACGGATGACGGTGATAATGATTTCCCATCTTCTCCAAGCATTATCATGTCACCCCATTTGTCGTCATCGGTGTTTGGTAATAACCTCTTTTGCCGATGCCATCGGTACAGCACGTAAGATAAGCTCAAGCCCTCCAAGTTGATATTGTCATCAGTACTCCAAAACAAGTGTTCCTCGTACCATTCGCAACGAAGTTGTCGACCGAGGCGATTATGTATGGGGTAAATCAATAAGGGCGTATCGATCAATTCAAACTTCACATCTTCTTCACTGCGCCAGAGTAATGACTTTGCATAGGCCTGCACTTGTCGTCTGTTTTTGAGAGGTACCTGATCCTCTCCTTTCGATAGGTTGGTCTTGCCACTTTGATCCAAAATAAACTGAGCAGCTTTTGCCATGTAATCTGCCTTTTTCTGATCAAGGTGTTCGATGTCGCTATTCCTGTAAGTGTGAGTAAAAATCGCGATGTGTTGCTCGGGGATCAACCACTCTTCGTTGGTTCCCGAATCACGTTTTTTGGTTCTAGCAGCAGCAGTGAGTTGTCGACCCATTAGAAACCACATTAGTTGTAGAGGTGGGAGGATTTCAAAATGCTGTGGCTCCACGTAAAATACAAATTGAACGCTTTGATCCAGAAGTGTTTCAGGGACAATTTTTGGCATGATGGAATCCATCTGAGATATGGACTCTTCGTCCGCGTCGATCCAAATCAACTTCCAGCCATTGTTCGAGACTTTGCCGTTCCATTCATCTATACTTTCCCTCGAGGAGATCTTACTTTCATCATCATCTTCAAGATCATTCTTAACGATAGTACTTCTATCATTCTCTGCGAGAGCATTATTGACGATGGTACTTCTAGATGACACAAAGGCCACTTGACAAAAAGAATCCCTCGGCCATGGCGCATCGTTCACAGATTCTCTCATTTCAGGGAGCGATTCTAGAGCTGAGGAGAAGTCAGCCGTATACAATAGAAAAGTGCAACCTTTGGTAGCTTGTTTTGTGACGTTTACTTTGGTATCCCAAGCAGACTTTTTACATGTAACGTAACTTGTGCAAGTCGCAATGCACGGAAATATGTCGTGCTGACGGCGTTCCAATTGTGAAACTGCGGCAGAATCCATCGTGTTGTCCATTAGAAGGTTTTGTCGTGTGTTGATCAATCCAAGAGTCGCTATCTTGTCGTTTTCTACGGGAGAAACATCAAAATTAGAAGGGTCCTGGTGTGGTTTGTATCTTTTGTAGTTCCATGAAAGTATCGGAAGAAGAGCTTCAATTACGCTATTTTTTTTATCCGTCTGAATAGATTTGGTTGATAACAAGGGCACCAAAGCTTTGGAAAGTTCCACAAATGTTGCCGTCTGAGATCTCGCTGCCTCTAAAATAGGCACCGACTTTTCACCATGGACGTGCACCAGCCTTCCGGACACTAAGATAGATTGAACGGCATCTATGATGGAGATTGTTGGTTGACTCATCATTGGATTTGGATTTGAACTCGAATAAGGATACCATTGCGTTTTGCGCAGGTTTTCTTCGTTGCGCGCCCGCTGAATAGATTTTTCGGAAAGTAACCAAGCCGCGCCCTCTTTGAAGGGTCCGAAAATATTTGGTAGAGCAAGTTGCCTGACGTTGAGTTGGTACTGCATTCGATAGGCATCAAGGGTAATTTGATTGAAAGTAGATATAGTTGCCACCGACAATCTATTGCCGTTGTCGAGGTCGTTCATTTCGGAAACGGTCGAAGTCACGTACAGCAGATTCGTTTTGACCCCGTTGGCGTCGGTGGTATTCGAGCATTGTAATTTGACCATTGCGTTGCAGATTTGTTGCAACTGGTTCGTTCCGGAGTGGGTTTTGAAATCAGTTGCCTCGTTGTCGTTGTCGTCTTCATCGGGTGTTTTGAAAGAGTCCGATTGAAAGTAGAAGATGTGCGACGGCGAGTAGTCCCTGAAAAGATCCTCCGTGGCCCGATCCCCGAGGGATCCCCTTCTGACCCTGAGCTGTAAGCTGGGTATGTGTCGCATTAGGAAGTCGAGCCGGGAAGATTCCTCGGCATCAAGCAGGTGATCTGACATTCCGAGTATGTGGCGCACGCCGCATCTTTCTGCCAGAGTAAGGGCCAGCTCGGCAGCCACCGGATGAGAAAATATCCCAGTTATTATGATGCGATCCCTAGAATTGTAGCCATTCTCTCTTTCGTTTTCGCTTCCACAAATGTCGTCTCCAATTACCTGGTTCGTAGCTGGAAAGAAAGGATACGTCAAGTCCATGGGGGTGATGCCATCCACCTCAAACAGATTATACGGGAAAAAAGAATAGCGCGATGCTACCTCTTTTTTTGACCGTGGCCTTGTTCTCATTCTTCGCTTCCATTTCGTCTGGTTCAACAAATACTCTTCTCTCGTCATCGAATGCAACCTCGGAGAATCCAAGTCGAGATTTCGATTTTCGAATTTCTTGGGCAGATCGTCGCTGCGCCAGTGAAACAACGTTACGTTTCGAACCACACACACGGCGCAGAGCACAGGCACTATCTTGATCCAAAGGTTCCCGTTGTCGATTTTTGTTCGCCGCCTCAGACTCGTCGTGTTTTCACCCATCGTCCCGTGAAAGAAATTTTGACCAGGAACGGCACGCCCGTTGAAGATGCGACGTCTTGATTGCCCAATCATCCTTGCGCGATCTCCTCTGTTCTTCTTTCCTTTTAGCTCCTCCAACTTCCCCTGTGGCTCCCCTCTCGGTCGATCTTTGTGCAGATCAATGTCACCGGCGCCAACGCAAAATTTTACGACGTGCACACAAGTTGACAGGCATTTTCAAAAAAAATTTATTGTTCTGGTAGTACGGGGTAGTATCGTACCGTACGAATTTGAAAATTGGCACAGGTACGGGTACACTCTCATGGGTGGTGCGGGAAACTGCCATAATTTTGGCGTGGACTTGCTCGCCCCGCGGGACTTACTGTATTGGGTATTTGGTAGCAGCGACGAAACTTCGATGTACGTAAAATCTATTGGTACGTGCACTGTACGTACTTGTACGTGCCGCTACCGGATACAGTACAGTACGTACTTGGACTGTTCCTGTATGTTCGCAATGACAAAACGTACGGTACCGTACGTTATGAACGAAAAGGAACACGAAGACACGAAGACAAACAAACTTTTTCCTCACTTGTATCGTATTTCCTCATACGTCCCATGTCCCGTACGGGAATAAATGGTTCTTACCGTAGCTTAGCTAGAATACTCCATGCAAAAATGCCGTATCAAGGAAGTGCGGAACAGAGCACGAGTACTAGTAGTACACACCGTACTGTACGGTACTGTAAGAGAGAGGATCGTGAAAATTTTCATCCGAGACAAAAATTATACTGTAACCATTTTCTTTTTTTGATGCCGTCGACCCGCATTGCTTCTTCCGGACTGTCGCCGCGATTTGTCTTCCAAACATTTGTAACCAAGAAAAGCAACTAGGGGAGAGAGAACACACAACGCGCATCTAACGAGCCCTTCCAGTTTGCGTTGATTGTTGCGGTCACAGAAACGGAGAGAATCAATCATGGAGAGACTTACAATAAACTGCAAGAAAAGACTGTGGATTTCTTCGTCGTTTCGAATGGTCGCTCTGTGCTGGTTTTGTATAGTATTATCAACGCTGACGATAAGGGCTTCACAAGCACAATCGCAGCAGCAAAAACACGCGTCAATAAATTACAGCAGCAACGACAACGATGGAAACAGCAACGCCTTTTTGACAGAGGACTCGGTGGTTCTGATCACCGGTGCCGCGGGCTTTTTGGGAAGCGAGCTGGCCCTGGCTCTCCACCGGACCTATTCTCCAAAGCGAATCATTTGCGTCGATCGAATGGGAGACCATCCCGACACCCAGGAGGAACTTGCTCTCTTTGAATTCCAGCGGCAGCGAGCCTTCAACGTTATGCAGACCCTGGGAGAGAGGGGCCAGTTTTATCGGGTTGACTTTTCTCCCATGATTCCGGAATACTTTGACATGGGCGAAGTCCCCGTCCTCGACCACATCTTTCGAGAAAATCCCGACATTAGTCACGTGGTACATCTGGCCGATCCCTTTCCACATTCAGCCCTGCAAGCTGTTCCGCGGGAAAAGGATGTGCCCAAGGCCGGGATGATGGAGGCCTTGTTGGAGCAGCTCGCCAAGCACGAGCGAGACGCCAGGAATGCGAATAAGAACCCCGACGGCGAGAGCGATACGTTCGTCTACGTTCCTCCAAACTTTGTTTACGCGAGTTCCTTTGAGGTGTATCCCCACCATACGTCGTTGCTGAACCTCGGATCCGACAAATCAAAGATGGAGGCTGTCCATATCTTGCTGGAAGAAAAACAAACGCTGAGCACCCCAACATCCTTGCGGGGTGCGTCCAAAATGATGGACGAAATGATTGCCAAACTCTACTATGATACCAAGGGATTGTACAGCGTGGGACTGCGCTTTTTCTCGGTTTACGGCCCGTGGGGGGTTCCCGGCAGCCCTCTCTTCGAGATGGCGGAACGAGCTATCACGGGTGATCTCGACGGTCTCCGGGAGGAGCACGAAATCGAGAACTTTCACTCTGGCCTGAACGGCGTCGATATCGACAACGACGAGACCGATCCGAAGAACAAAAACGACTCGCACCGCAACGATTGGAAAAAGTCGATAMACGATTTTGTGTACATCGACGACGCCGTTGACGCCATGATGGCGGCAATGCAATTCCGATCCGATCCATCGCCAGAGAGTTCTGCCGATGGGAGCCATGCAAATTCTCCGCACCCCATCATTTTCAACGTGGCGAGCGGTGAGGGCCATTCGCTGGAAGACGTCCTCGGTGTGATGCAAGAGCACTTTCCTCCGAAAAGCAAGAAAAAGTCCGATGGACGAAGAACAAAAAGCAGTGATGTCACCGGTACCATTGGTTCCACGAAACGAGCCGAAGCGTTCCTTGGCTACAAACCACAGGTGTCTCTGCGTGAGGGGATTACCAAGATGCTGGCTTGGCACTACGATCGTGCCTTTCCGTACGGTGGGCAAAAGGACAAGAACATCGATGCTAGCAAGGCAGCAAAACTCGAGTATGTTACCCAGCAGGGCATTGTTGGTTGCCTCCAATTCGACAAGGAATGCCTGAGAGGAATTCCGATTTTTCCATGTGCTTCCGAGTGTTCCCACCAGGCTCAATGTACCAAGTCCTCGTACGACGAGGTAATTGCACTCACCCAGAAACTGACATCGAATTGCGAGTCTGTCCTGTACACGGTCGATCTCGACGAGTCACTCTCGGGTCTTCCATCGGCCAATCCAAAAATCCAAACGTCCAAGTCCTTTTTCAAGGGCACTTGCAATGTGGCATTTGTGTCGCAGCAGAGCTTGTTGGTCAAATCGCACCAAAACACACCCGCAAAGGGGGACGGCCATCTCCGGGACGGACCGTGGGTGCTCGTGCCTTTGAATGTGGTCCCGTCGAATGTAGCGGGAGCCATTGGTCGTGATGGCAACGATTATAGCGACCTGATCAACAAAAACGACGTTCTCAGGCTCTTGCCCAAGTTGTCGCCGGGTCTTTTCTTTGGATCCAAAAAAACCAAACGTGCGATTTATGTTGATCCGGTTATCATGATTGAAAACATTCCAAAATTGGTACAGGAGTCTTACGCGCAGCCATACAACAAAGACATGGAAGGAGCAACCGCAATGCTTATTGGTAGAGGTACTCCCAGGGATTACTTTTCTGACGATGGTGACGACGAAGAAGAAATTATCTTGAAACTGGATGATCCAAACTACGAACACCAAGTCTTGCAACCCAAGAATGCATTGGTTCAAAATGCTGCCTATCGCATGGTGAAGATTTCCGTCTCTGACAATCTGTTCGGAGACGGATTTACGGAACTATTGGATTCTCGTTGGATCGTGCATGGCCTTGGATCCAACGACGGTCGCCTCTTTCGGTGCGATGTTCTCGGAGAAATTTTACAGTGGGAAGTCACCTCCGACAAGTCTGCCTTGGAATTTGTCCTTGGTCTGCACGATATGTGGAGCAGAGTCATTGCCAAGGCATCTGGCATTGGTTCCTGGTGGATCGGGGAGAACGTTGTCACCGTCCCCGAGGGAAAGCGACGGAGGTCGACCGGAAGACGCAGATTGCTCGAAGAAGAAGGAGAAGCCCCGGTGACCGAGGACAATGACGACGGAGAAAAGGGTGAGAGTGCGGCAGATGATGACGAAGCTGGGGTAAAGGACGAAGGTGGTGAAACCGCTGCAGATAACGACGAAGCTGAGAAAAGGGAGGAAGGAGATGAAACCGTGGCGGATGATGACGAATCAGGGGGAAATGATAGAAAATCGGAAACCGAGGCAGAAGACGATGGTTCCGAGGAGGAGGAACAAAATCCCGACGATGCTTCTAGAGACGGGGAAGAAAGTGAAGAAGTTGCCGTGGTAGACACTGCCAAGAGAAATTCAAGAGAAAAAGCAAGTGCTCCAGAAACTAGAGAGGGGAGCGAGAAAAAGGAGGAACCAGAGGAAGATACGGCAGACGATGACGAATCCGAGGAGGATTCTCAAGAACAAAATCCTGAGGATACTTCCGGAGAAGGCGAGGCAAATGACAGAGGGGAATTTGTTGCCGATGCAGTTGCCCAGGAAGAGGTGACGGCCGACGAAGAAAAGCGAGGTGATAGTTCCGACGAAATTGAAGAAGCCGGGGTAGGCGACGAAAAGGAAAGAGAAAGTGGTGAACAAGAGTCAGAACAACGCGATTTTAGTTCTTACGATACATGGATGGGGATACTATCGAGCTCTAACGTCAAATACTTTGTTCGAATTGTTCCTTCTTCTGAAGTTGGGATTGTATCTATTGAAAGTTCTTAAACGAAATTTTCAATACGGAAAAAAGGAACAGTCTCTGATGAATGGATTTTCTTCCGCCTCCGATTCCCTCCCTTCACGCATAAATGCTTCTTATTCCGTGTTTAGAGCATGAACATTGCAATACCGTGTATACTAATGCAGTTGGCTGGTTTTGGACGCAAACATTCGCCATGCCCACTTTCAACTTGTGTCCCAAAAGCAAACCCGAAGGTCGGGCCATAGTCCGATCTCCTACCATCCGAAGCACTGGTCCCAGCACGATTCTTTCGACACCAAAGACCCAGAGAAGGGATCACTTGATAAATATTCTAAGTCTCGCAAAGATTATGTCTGTTGTATGCTAATTTATTTAGAACCATGAATGAATGGCTATATACCACCAATCGTAGGTTCGTATCAGTTGTTTTGGACAGGACAAAAACCTATGTCAGAGCAAGCAAATGATGAAGGTGAGATCTTTTTCCATTTGGCAATATTATAACACTCTTCACTTTGCAGTTGCGCGTTTGAAGGGTTGCTTTCCATTCCAGATGTTGTTCAGAGCTAAATCTATTTGTAGGGTAGTATTTTGACTTCTCCTTCTTGAAGAATTTTGTCATTTTGTTTGTCAGCTGAATGACAGAGGGAGGTTTGGGTGGCATTTTGTTCTATTTCTTACTGAATGACATAGACTGTCCATACCAGTGAAATTCAACAAAGTTTGAAAAGAATGATAGAGCAAAGCTACAATGAGAAAAAGTGAATTAATATCAACAAAACTTCCTGCTCCTAGTATCATCATTGTGTCTATAGATGTTTGACAAAGGAAGATAATCCATCAGCAGTCTTGACATATGATATAGTCCACATCAGAGAAGTTCAAAAAAGTTATAAACCTTGGACAAAGGAGCTGCAATGAGAAACAGTGGATCAATACCAAGAAACAATCTGCCTGCTCCTGCTGCCATAATGATGGTTACAATAAACAAGGGTAACAAAGAGAGTCAGACACTTTTTTGTTCCTCTCTGCTCCCCAAGACGATGTCAAACTGAACACACTCTATTTTCCCATGACCCTGCTGAAGCTTTACAATCTAATACCACCAGCACATCCTTGTTTTTATACTGTATCAGAGTTTATCAAAAGGGATCTATGGGTGCTTTTGAAATGCTAATACTACTAGTCTACTTCCAGCACTTCCAATATCAATCCAACTGTTCAGTACTTCCCTCCATTGAACACCAATAGAACAAAGCTGTCAGAGAGTGTCAATGGAGAAGATATGCTGCTCTTTGATGAATACTCCAAAAAGAGACAAGAACAGCACTTTCAGTAATTCCATGATGTCTTAATAGTAAATCTGTCCTAGTACTAGTACTAGTAGTACTAGTACTAGTACCTCAGTTATGCTCCTCCAGGAGTGCTGCCCCTTTCAGCAATTAGAAGAATCCTTCTCCCATCAACAAGAAGGAGTAATGTCTTTAGCTTCCCTGTGGCCAATTTTAATTTACAAAATTAAATATTTTCATTTTTTGTTCAATATTAGCAGTAACACTACTAATTTGATGCAATGCTCATGTATTTTTTTGCTAGTCTTGGGATTTTCCCCACTTCTACGTGTTGAATAGATTGTGGCTGAATTCATCATGCATGGGAATGGGTTGATCTGCAATGATCCAAGAATGCCTAGTTTAATTTTGGAACAACCAATCAGAGCAATTTTGACTGATCATTCAGGTGTTGGAGGGAAATTTTGAAATGACTAATCAGAATAATGACTGAATATTTGGGTTTAGTGACAATCAATGGATTCTCTTTGATTTTGAAATGGCCAATAAAACTAGTAGTGACTAAATGTTTAACTAAATCTTGGGCGGAATTGGGTTTCTTTAATCTTGGAAGTACAAAATACAACAATGACTGAATATCAAGGAAATTTCAGGAGAAATTGTGTTCTTTAAAAGTTTTGTTTGACCAATAATGATAATGACTGAGCATTCAAGTATTGAGGGAATTGGTTCTCATTAACCTCAAAATGACTGACCATTAACATGATTGTTTTTTTCTTGCTGGGAGAAATTTGGTTATCTTAATTTCTGGAATGACCAATCACCACAAATACTATGACTGATTTTTTAGCCTTGGAAAGAATTTTAAGAGAATTACTGATTCCTATCATGACTTAGCATGCAGTTGGAGTGAACATTAATAGGTAGCTAAGTGCAGTTGTTCCTGCCTGCTCTTAGCCTGAGTTATTGTAGCCTTGTCTCTCCTTCGTCCGCATTGCTTTGCTGGATTCTTGCCACGGGACATTCTGGGCCTTTGGTACTAAAGTACCGTATGATTGTACTTCTGGGGTCTGGTATTCTATAGATCTAAATGGTCAGGGATTCGACCTTT